ACAAAGAAAAACCTGGGAAAAGTAAGACCCGAGGGAAGGAATCCTACATTTTATGGTAGATTTTTTCTGCCATGGGTTTTCTTTTTCAAGCATAAATGAACCATCACAAAGAAGAAACAGAACTGCAGTTTTTCATCTTTACGTTTCAGACATAAGGATACTTTGAAAAGGGTGTAAATGTACAAAAATAACCTCATATAATGTAGATTTTATACTCGTAGCTAGCTTTTAAATGACATAATAAACTATCGAGTCTGTAATCCTTATAGATATGGCACTAATTACTAGAAAAAAAATCCGTAAACCTCACAGATATGGCACTATTTGCTAGAAAATAACATATAAGGAAATTGGAGACAAAGTATATATTACCGGTATGTTTAACCAAAAAGGTTGAATTCTAGTTCCAATAATGCACTGTGTCTATAATTGATTTTCAGATTTGATCAGATGCAAAAATAAATACTGGCATGATAAATGACCCACATGTGCATGAATACAAAATCTCAAAATTAACTTCCTGATCGGACCTTGGAGATGTTTTTACTCCCAAGTTCATGAATATTTTTTTTTTTGTCAGTGCATGTTAAGTCGAGTATTCTTTCCCCTTTGTTGAAAACTCTTATAATTAAGATATAAAGTGACCAAATCCATCAGACATGTGCGAGACAATCCATCCAGGTTCTTTATCTCATAGCATGTCTGCTATTTTATTGGCCTGAAGTTATTATTTTAAATCTTCTACCTTTGGCAGAGGTCTACTTGACATGACCTGACTTTAGTACAAATATTCTGCCCTTTCTCCCCTAAACCTCTTGACATCCGATTGGTATTCAATTGTTATATTTGTTTAACAAATTGACAGACCCGCAGTAATGGAAAACTTGTCTCCAACGAACCCCTTTGGTCCATTGTAGACTCTTGTTATTGTACAACTTTTACACTTGTCCATCACCTTTAGTTAAAATAAACTCTATCGTGTTAAAGCTTTATACCCCATGTGTAAAAAATTACATTTATGAACATGCACTAGACTTGCCAGGGTTCATTTTACAGACGCGCAATGAGAAAACATTTCAATTATCTGAAACATTATGAATACTCATTTCTCCTTTTGAAAAAAATAACAGCTCCATTCATGAATTATATAAAGTGCAGTATTCCAAACATGACAATAATGATTTTCTCTTAATTGCTTAGGCATGTAAAGCTGCATTAACAAATAACTAATAACATGCACTTAATAGAATTGATAGAAAAATATTGGTATTACTAATATTTTGCTGAATAATAATAGTTACATAACAGACATTAATAATTTCCAAAGTTAAGAATACAATTTATTCCATGTGTTTTTCTGTACTAACAATAGTATTGTAATTATCGTTCCTTGGGTCACTACTTGACCCCTTTTATGCCCATTCAGGGGATTTACTCAAATTAGATGTTGGGAAATGGAACTGAATGGAAATATTTACTTAAGACACTGGCCACCCTTTTCGAATGGTGAGAATCTCTCTGGGACGGTCTGTTTTATCATTGATCCTTTCTCTAGTTGTAGTAAAAACGTGCAAGGGATTGGCTCACAATATCCATAAAGTAAATACATTGAATGGGGTACATTCTTCAATTAAAACAGGTTGCTACAATTCAAAATGGTATGTTATCATTACCAGGTATTCAGAATCTCTTTTTATACGTCCACATTCATAATGTGAACGTATTATGCCGTCGCCCCTGTCTGTGTGTGTGTGTGTGTGTATGTGTGTGTGTGTGTGTGTGTGTGTGTGTGTGTGTGTGTGTGTCTGTGGTTCGCCTACAGGGCGCAATTCTTCATGGATTTTCTTCAAACTTGGTATACTTATTCCTTATACCCCAAGGAAGATCCCTATTGTTTTTGGTGCATGCCCGACCCCCCGGGGCAGAGCCACGCCCATTTCTAGTATTTGTTTGTTTGTCGTCTACAGGCCACATTTCTTAACTAATAATCTTGAAACTTTGCATACACATTCTTTGTACCCTAAGGAACATCCCTATCGTTTGGGGTGCATGCCCAACCCCCAGGGGCAGAGCCACGCCCATTTTCTTTTCGTGTGTCTTTGTGTCGCCTACAGGGCGCAATTCTTACTGGATTTTCTTCAAACTTGGTATACTTATTCCTTATACCCCAAGGAAGATCCCTATTGTTTTTGGTGCATGCCCGACCCCCAGGGGCAGAGCCACGCCCATTTCTAGTTATTCTTTAAGTGGCATTTAGCGATCAGGGAACAAATTAACAGAACACAGTTTTTATGGGATACAATCACTAGTTTATTCTAAAAGCACGACGTTTCCACAAGTATTCTCTTATCGTTATCAATCAAGCAAAAAAAAACAAAAAAAAAACGTCATGCTTTTAGAATAAAGACATCGATTGTTTTAAAATAAAAATTGTGTTCTGTTAATGTGAACGAAATGTTATACTGATAGCAGTCCTACAACCCAGTTTTATTTCACAGACCCTCAATGCAAACTGGACCATATCAAACAAAACAGGAATGTGGACGTATATTGCTGCGTTAGCGATGCTCTTGTTTATCTTTAGTACATGATCTCTTGTTTTCTTTTTTTGTTTTTGTTTTTTTTTTATTATTGAAATGAATAATCAAAATTAAAGATTCCTCAGTTTTATTCCATAAATTTGAAAGCTGTACCACAAAAACTGTTGACTATGTGAGTTTCCCAAATAAATGTGTCAGAAGTGACATCCAGTGTTCTGTAATAAGTAATTATAACTGCACATTGCATATGGATGGTCAGTTCTTAATTAAACTTGATATAAAAATGTATCCTGTTAGTTCTTCAATCTCACTTAATTAAACATATACACATTTCATTAATAGTAAATGCTTTTTTTTATAGAGCATCTGATATCACTCACTATCTATTTCGAAAATTCACACAGCAAACATTTGTTTTTTGGTACTTAAATTACAAAGCTCATTCTATATCAAGTTGTTTTTGCTTTTAAAATTCTAGCCCAAAATATGGCTCTATGATAGTGTTAATTGTCATATTGACGAGGCAAATAAACTTTCTGTTTCTACAACACCGAGTTATACATGCCATATGACTCATGATGTCCTGTAAAATGTTAACTCTATTGTTTTTTAATTAAATTTATGTAGATTATGAATATGAAACAACTAGATTATTAGAGAGAAATGTTTGACTGAATGAAATGAAATGGGGTTTAACGTCATACTTTTCTACATGACTCAAGCTAATAAAGACGGGAATGCACCATACAGTGTGCTATAACTATAAAGGAATTTTGCCCGACACTACAGCCTAGTCTTATATTGAATTCTAACTGTCAAAGGTTCTTTTATGTGCCGGCCAATGTGTAGAAGGGACCTCGTATTTCATCCCATCGAACAATGGGATGCTGTCCTTAACAACTTCCTCGACCAACACCAGGAAGGAACCTAAGACCTCATGGCTTGTGAGTCAGTGTCATTCTCCTGAACAGTTTGAAAGTTATATATACATGTCTCGATCAATAAATCATGCATATATATTAATCCATTGGTTATTTTGACATAACTGTCTGGGTGCCATAATAGGTCATAAATAGACGAGTTTTTAAATTAGATATGAATGTTTCTAGGCTGGAGTTAGCATGTGCGCGCTGTACCATAAAGTCTGTCATTGAGTCAACTGGCGTGGTTTCGAATCCCCGGTTGTATGTGGCAAGGAGTAGGATCGCCTGTCCAACCTCGTGGGTTTTCTCCGGGTCCTCCGGTTTCCTCCCACTGCTAAAGACCCCTACGCGCAAGCGAATTATTGAAATAAAATTAAACCATGTGTTAGTCCAGAAATTACCTAGTTTGTGTCGAGTGGACGTTAAACCCCATTTCTCTCTCCCTTTTTCTAGGCTGGATGATAGTTTAATGTTCAGGGCTAATGAATTCACAGAACAGGCACATGAACCAACTTCAGTATTGCTGTCAACGTTTTTTCCTGGTCATTGTAAGGCACTTTGCCATTTTTGATTGTCTGTGTTGTTCTGTGTTTTGTTTGGGCAGGTACTAAATAATCTAATAAATTTAAAAATGTTATAAAACAAGATTGAAATGTGATTTGAATATTCTGAAATACAATAAACAAAAAATCATAAAAAGAGAACATTAAAGATTTTGAATTGAAATTTGACGATTTTATGTGCAACATTTGAATCTAACAATCCTTTTATAATAAAAACTGTATTCACTTCCATTTATGTTCAACACTTTTACTTGTCACAATTGAATCTGACCGTCACTTCTATTAAATACTATATTACATACATTTTGGATATAAAATTAATGAAACATAATAGTGAAGGCTTCGCGTGTATTTTGAATCCTAGCCACCACAAATAGACATAAATATAACATTATTTTATTTTTGTTTAAAATTCAGTTGATGCAAAATCTGTTAATGTGAATTTTATAAATGCACGTGTACATTACAACCATTATGTATGTTTATTCAGATATAATTCAAAAATATTGATTATAATACAGCTATATTCCCCATGTAAAAGTTTTTATATTCCGATTCCAACAGTTGTTATATTGTTAAGTCAACCATGCAATATGTCAGTAATTGTCTAGTATTATTTAAGCTATAAATGGTATAATGATGATCACAGTATGAAATCTACAATCATCCGACTCTTCATTTCACTAAGTAGTATTATCCATCCGCCAACCTCCTCTTATAATAAATTGAGTCAAAGTCAGTTTTGGAAATTCCTGCCATCTATTGTTGTCAATAAGTTGAACACTTCTTCATGCATATAAGGATGTAGTACAAAAGGTTATAAGGTTAGCCAACCACATACAATATTGATTGTCTGTTTCTTTGAGAAAACCCCTGTTCCTGCTGTCAGTCTGCATGTCCTATACTTCAAATGGCTGGAGCTGAATTCTCAGAAATGACTGTCTTGTGACTTGTGGCATGTTATATCAACCACAATGGGGATCTTTAAAATGGAGCAGGGATGTTTCGGGAGGAAATTTAAGTTAAAAAAATTCTTCAGTAGAAGATGGCGTGTCAAGGTAATTTGTTTTTTTCAATCTTCTATTTATTGTCCCTTTGTTACAGTATAGTGTTCTATGGTACAGTATTGGCTCTGTTCTCAGTTATTGTCAGGCTGATTGCCGTCTGTCAGTCAGGTGATAATAGGCTTTTTAACTTCAGGTGCCACTTGTCTTTGTTCTCTATGTTTTTAGTTCGGTTGTGTTTTTTAAGGACATTTGACAACCTAATACTTAGATACATAGAATATTTTTTTGTTCTTTTTGTTTTCTGATAAAATAAAAAGGATTTAATACAAAAATGCATACACACCAATTAGAACAGTTTTATTATATTATAGTTATAGTCAAACTAAGAATAGAATACAAGAATATTTTCTGATTTTTAAGATATAGTATTAATTTTTTTTTTTTTTTTTTTTTTAAACCATGTTTATATGAATTCTGTGAGTAACATTCATCATTTAATCATGTTACTATGAATTATTATCATTCATTAATTTCTATTTTATATATATATATATATATATATATATATATATTAGAATTTATAAATGATTCTTTTCTCCAAATTTGTCTAATGTGTGCACTTTAGATCATTAGATCTGACAGTAAGGCAAGTATTGTGGTTTTGATCACAGACATATATGTTACAAGGAGTAACCTTGTGGCATTTTTCTTGTTCTCAAAAACTGATAAAAAAAACTTAAATAAAGTTAGACCTTATGTTTGTCCCAAAATGACCTAGTGTGTGTTGACGGGACATTACATCTCTCTCTCTCTCTCTCTCTCTCTCTCTCTCTGAATTATATTATTATACCATTCAAGTAATTATATGAATTCTGCTTGATTACAAATAGAAGTGTATAATCCAATCAAAACATTAATTTGTTAAAAAAAAATTGAGTTTCAAGATTAAACTGACTTTGAGTAAAACACAAATAATTTTGACTTTTGATTTTTAAAAATGTGTTAGACGTATAAAAAAAAACCCAACCCAAAATTATTTCCTCTTGCTTTCACAATTGATATATCATTGAGTAATGGTCTAATTAGTGAGGAAATTATAGTTGTTTAGTATATTCTACATGTACAGGGAGCCACAGTGGCTCAGTGAGTAGGACGTTGGCTCACTTACTAGGAGGTCACATGTTTGATCTCTGAATTGGTCAAGAAAGTTCATAGAGATTTTCTGGCGTGGTTTGCCCTTGTCAGTAGTATAGGGGGGAGGGCCTGGCAAGGGAATGTGTATAGTCATTCGGATGGGACGAAACACTTGAAGTCCCGTGTACACATTGGCGTGTATGTAAAAGGGCCCTTGACATTTGGAATTCGAAATAAAGAGTTGCCCTAGTGCCGCTAATGGGGAAAATTTCCCTCATAGCCCACTGCATAGCGTATATCCATCTTCATTAGCCCAGTAGGAGCATAACAGTAGGACATTAAAGCCCATTTCATGTTCATTTCTATATGTATAATTCATTAAGTTCATGTATAATATTCATATAAACAGAATACTAGTACCCATAACTATTATCATTTTGTATGAATCTGAATCTGCATGAAATCAATGAATATTTTATGACAGTCATAATAGACCTATAATAGACTGATAGTAGTTCATCTGTGGCATATCAAGACATGTTTATGTATGGGTATTAAAACGGATAGGTCTAGACTTCTGCCAACAGGAGGTCCAGTCCCATGATCAAACTTAAAATCTTATACAATGTTCGTACAGGTCTGCTATAATTGATATTGTGTATCAATCAATAACCCATGCACCTCCCCATTGCAACAAATGATTTCACCTTTATATGGTGTACAAATTAAAGACGACTATCTATTTTTTTAGACTAAAGGAAATATTTTTATTGTACTTATGGTCTACTGTTTGAACCCAATTGAGTTCTGCATTTGGAATACTCACATTTCCCTAGAAATGGACCTGACTAGGCTGGTGTAACCCTTAATTAAACATACAGTATGCAAGAGCTAAATCTGCCAATTGCAGGTCTTTCTTCAGACATGAAATGTTATCTTAATTATTAATTAGACTTTAATTAACTTATCCAGACCATAATCAACTCTCGATGGCATCGCTAGCCTATGATATTTACTGGATTATAATCCCATTTGCTGCTCGACTTCCATTCATAATTTAATCATGAAATGGATGATTGAGACAATTTTTTTATATCGTACGGACTTCAGTAATGCTGATCGAGGCTAGGCCGAAATTTCAATCGCTTAATTCTCGGTTCATAGTGGATCAATTTGACTGAAATTTTCAGCAAATTGCCTTTACATTATCTAGTTTTTAACTATTATAGTGAGAACTGCCAGCTCTTTATCTTATCCCCCATAATATATCTTTAAGTGTTTAATTTATTGCATTACTGATTGAGTATGGTAATGTTCCACTTGATCCACTTTGGATGAAAATGAGGATCTTCATTTCAAATCAAAAATGAATGTTCATACAATTATGAGGTTAATTAAACATTTGGTCCTTTATAGATCAGTAGATTAATCCATCTTTCTATGTAAGATTATAAGTACTCTAAGAAATTGAAACACACATTTATTAAAACATTTTATTTGAGATTTGGGGGGTGGGAAATAATTGGGGCCATGTTAAACAGACTTCTAGATTTTGTCTGCTTACAAAAATCTAATGGTGGTGGTGTTGCAAACGATGATCCAAGCCTATATGCATCAGGTTATAACAATGTGAACAGGTCCTCAATATTTTAGTCAGCCCAACATTTTACTGATAAAACTGTTTCCTGAACTCCAACATTGTTATTGATTGCTACCCATTAGCACTGTACAATAAAAAGTTGTTGAAAATCCCCAGCATTTAGTTTTTTTTACTGAGTTTGGTTATACCACTTGAGTCTTAATGGTTTGTTTCTGTTTATTATAAGTACATGTATCAGATGTGACCAATCATTTTTATCTCTGTCATTTAATCCTTTTCTCTCTAGGTCTCTTCCTGAGTCTCAGCTACACTCATCTCATGTAATACATAATCCCTATTTTATCTCACTTTTGTATAATAATTCTCGCGGTAGGTGAGCAGACCTCTTGTCACATGTATTGATTGATTATGACTTTCCGAGAAGACAGGGGAAAAAAATGAGCAAAACTTTATTGTTCTGTCGGTTGGGCGTCTTGTTACAATCAGCATGCAAATAAAGGAGGATAAAGCAGTTGATAGATTGATTAACTGCATGTTGTTGACGAATTGCAACTCCAGAGCTGCTTTAATGGAATATTTAACCATCAATATGAAATAAAGATCTATGCAGACAGACTCTGTTATGTACTTTTCTGTATGCTATTATGCTTTTACATGTTGCGGCTTTGTGCATTGTAGTTTAATTTTAAGATGTTTGTTTTACCATAGAGTCATACAGAGGGCCTGTATAAAGTTGGAAGATCAGCAGATCACTATGATCCCTTATAGCACACTGTAGGGTGTATGCTCATCTTTATTAGCCCAGTCAGTGCATAAAAGTAGGATGTTAAACCCCGTTTCATTTCAATACTCACAGTGGAATCTAATATCTGACATGGGTGCTTTGTTTTAATTATCTAACTATCTAAAGAACACAATACACCCCTTTTTATTGTTTCATCATTATTGTCTTTCTGATGCATTAAGGCTTGATGACGGTAAGAAAATACATTTCATCTTGATTGCTTTTCAAAAAAATTGAAACAATGGGTTTTTGTCTCATATGCAACAGATGTCCATTATTGTGATTAGCTGTAACTTGAAGCCTTCAAAATCATGACATAATAACATGCAGCAATGTTGTTAAAGTGGTATGGAGGAAATCACATTGTTATGACCTGTGAGTGATAGCCGAGAAGTTGAGGAATATATCGAGATTTCCAGCATTGTGCCCTAATGGAAATGACCTCCAAAATATATAATGAATGGAAATTGATCTTATTGGTAGTGACAGCCCAAGGCTCAAGTGACTAATCCCTATTGGTTTGCTTGCATTCAAATTCCCATAAAATTGGTGTAAATAGCAGGAAAGTAAGCAGAAAGCAACAAAATTACAGATTAGGTTCATTTGATTATTGTCTTTACAAGATGAATGGATGCTGTTGGTCTTTGCTCTGTGTCAATATTATTATTGCTGATTTATACTATTATTATCGATGATGAGAGTTCCAAGACTCTAGGCACTATCTTTATCTTGTAATATGATTGTCTTGATGTGTGTATAATTAATGGAATACATTGTTGTTATCATCTTTTATTCTGCACATTCTTTGAGTTATCCTGATAATCTCTGTACAACATGCATTCTTTTGTTTAATTATTGATGAGTTCAGACTCTGACTGAAGACTTTTATTTTTCGGTCAAATGTACTGAAAAAGATATTGATAATTGTGTACAGCTATATTATTGCTTCTAGTAACATCCTATACTGCTGTTACCGAACTCTTAACATCTTTTTTATCACCAACAATAAAGATGAGCATACACCATACATGCATGTACAGTTTCGTTTCTGCCCAATTTTTTCAAATTCCATCTGTCAAGGACTTTCCAAAAGAGTAGATATGGCTGCTTACCATGCCCTCCGTCCTGCACCACCAACAAGGAGAACCATCTTGGCAAATCCTGGGGATCAAACCCAGTCCTCCTGATTAGTGTATGAGCTTCTTACTCACTGAGCCACTGTGTCTCCTTAAATAATGGCAGAGAAGTGCCATAATAAAAACATTTTGAAAATGTTTTAAATTTGAATTTTGATTCTATTGCCTTGTCAATATGTGGTATTTCTTCTGATTTCTTTTCATTCCATGATTGTCTATGCATGATTGTCTATGCAATCTTTATGGTAATGTGGAACAGGTTGGTTAATTTTGTCTGTGTCATCTTTATGGGTTTATTTTTAGCATTTTGTTTTTATTTTCAATGCCTTTGTGGTTTGGTTATTCAGGTTTCTTGCATTGTTTGTTCCATGTACTTGCAGTGGTCAAAACTGACCTC